AATTTCAGTATACTTTTAGATCATTTGTATTGTAATCTTGTCGACATCAGAATTCTGGAATTTAATTCAAGGTTTATTCCGTATGTGTTTGGGAGAATTCTATATTGCATTACATAAAGTATCACTACTTTAACAAGTTCTTATTTTTAATGTTTTTCTTACTCCTATTTGTTAGTGTTAATTACTTGTACTTAGTTTACTATTATAATATATTAAGTATGTTTTGTATGATATATTTAATTTTTCGCAATTGTTTTTTTTTTTTTTTCTGTTTATACTATGTCTCACTAAATTTTTAAAGTCTGAACCGTTGTTCTGACATTGCTTGTTTAAGTCGTAAATTAAATAATTAAATAAAATTTGTTTAAGGAATGAATTTTAATTTGTTTTTAACTTAAATATTCACTGCAAAAATACAATTTAAAGATATCAGTCCAGATTCAAAAGAAAGTAATTGATATCAGACTTAAGTAAAAATTCAAAATTTAATTAATTGATATGCGAAAATAATTTTTCTTTAAATTGTAAAAATAATTATTTTTAAAAAAGGGTTTTATAAACATAAACGTACACGCGAAAACAAGCGTTTATGAATTAAAAATTCAATATTAGACAAGCGAAAACCGGTAATACCTTTAAACTTATTTTTCACCAAAACAATTTTTTAATTAATCAAAAGTAATTAATTTTCAAAAATAAAAGTTTATCACTTAAACACACTGAACTCCGAAAGCGACAATATATATTTTAAGCTAAAATTCGGTTTCGACTGCTCGAAAAAGAACGATTTATTTAATTTGTTTTATTATGATAAAATACTATCCCAATTTAATTAATTATTATTACGATTTTTGCGAGTACGGTTGGTCGATACGAGCCACATTCTGGACTTCGCTTTAATCGATTTTTCATACCAGCTTATTTTTAATTCTTTTGTATCGAACATTGATATTATTAGTCTTAGATTTACATTGAAGTGATAGATAACCATATGATTAACACTTGGTCTATTATCTTTTTATTACTACGATATCTTTATGCACTTGCAGAACTATCATGGTTCAACTAGCCGATCAATGTAAAATTACATGAAATACTAAAATATATATTTAAGATAAGGATTAAAGTGGATTTTAATTAAAATAATAAAGATAAAAATGAAGGAAAAACATGATAAGGTATAAAATGTAAGTTAAAATTCAATTTTAAATAATGTTTGAGAAATAAATTATAAAATAATATAATAAACTATAAAATCTAAGATCATGATGAAAAACCCATTATCAAATAAGTATTTTATTGTCGTATAAACTTTTAAATTATAAACTATAAATTCAAAAATATTTCATACCAAACAAAACTTAAATCCGGAACATATCACACTAGTATACACTTATTATGCCCCATTTAACAAGGACTTCTGCCTCGCAAATTTGCCATGACAAAATTTCAATAGAAGTTTAACTTCTTGCAAACAAGATATTTTTACCTCATTAAATTTTTTGTGTAATTAAGACATCATTGTCTATTTTTTCTAGGATTTTTTCATTGTTATTTTTATTCAAAAATTATTTTTAAAAAATTCTCCATTTTTTCTTATAGTTTTTTCTTTTTATAGTTATTTATTAATATTATATATAATTTATTTTCATCTTATAGAATGAATTTGTATTAGGGTTAAATATATCAACATTTAATTTTAATTTTTCAAAAAATTTCTTTTAAATAATGGTCATCACAAACTTTTCTTTCCTTAAAATTGGTCATTCCCGTCAATTTATAGGGACGAAGGCTTACATGGTATGAACCATAAACAATATCAACTTATTTGATATTAATTTAAAATATGAATCGAAGTTTGTTGAAATATTTACCAAATGAACCATCTAATATGATAGTAGTTTTGTTTATAAAAAATAGTTTTGGTATCCGGATGTATGGTACTGAAATGAATCGTTAGAGATCTTCGCTTGTGGTTAAACATTGCTACAGTATCATTTAGATTTTCATCACATGATCCATTCTAATGACTAATGGTTAGAACCATTCACTGTTAGAAAATTCGCTTTTTAGTGATCGAATTAGTGACTGAAAAATTTGGGTCACTCTAATAACCGAATTAACCACCAAAATTTGAAACTACTAGAATTACAGATTACCTGCGGAAAGAGTTCTGCAGCAAAACATTATTTCCTGCGAAAATTAGCATAGCAGCAAATTTCGCAGGAATTCATGAGACTTTAGTTTAAAATATAAATTTCCTGCGGATTTAACTGCTTTTGCAGGAATTAATTATCCATTGAAATCACAAAATTTTCTGGAAATATCGCAGGAATTGCTGCGAAATTTGCTGCGGAATTTACTGTAAATGTTTCTGCGCCTTTTTTGCAAATTTTTTTTTTGAATCAAAAATTGTGGTATTAACTCAAAAATCACATTACATCCAAGGCGATCCCATGATCCAGCCAACAAACAAACTAATTAAGGTAAAAGAAGCCTAGCTATATGTGGTCTAAGCTTAGGACTAGTCCACCCTCTATATATTATATTGTTTATAATACTATCTAGGCAATTCCTATTATCTGTTCTTTGATTAAAACACGAATCATTCCGATACATCCAGAGCTCGTGAAGAGTTTCCGCGAGTGCAAGCCTAAATAAATCAGATTTCCAGCCTTTCCCACCATAATTTATCAGAACCCATTGCATTTCCTCTTTCCATCTTGTTGGGATGCGTTGAATGCCCATCCATTGAAGAACCCCACTCCATATTTGTTTCAATTTGAAACAACAGAAAAATAAATGATCAATGGTTTCCTCTTCATTGCAGAACTCACATATGTTATTCTGAAGCATACCCAGTCTAAAGAGTCTAGCCTTGGTAGGTAGTTTGTCTTGGCAGATCATCCATAGAGTAATAATTGCCCGGGGTCTGGCTCTATTATGAAGAATAAGTTTAGCCCATGTAACATTAGGAGTAATAGGTAGAAGACTTTGATATACTTTTCTCCCAAGGAATTTACCTGTTTGCAGTATTTCATTCCAAGTATTCTGTATATTTACTAGATTGTCCCTTTGTAGAAGAATAGTTTTGAAGATTCCAGAGTCTGAGGCCTTAGCAGTTCTGGTCATTATACCCTCGTGTCTTAAGTAGTAAGCATGTATCCATCGTACCCATAGATCATCAGATTTCTCAAAGATGTTCCAGAGCAGTTTTATCATAAACATTCTATTCCATATTTCCAAATTCATCACATTTAGTCCGCCTTTCACATGTGGTTTACAAACATTATCCCACGCCACTGGACTCTTCCTACTGATAGTAGTACCCCCTGTCCACAGAAAAGACCTGCATATTGCATTGATCCTATTAATCACAGTTTTTGGAAACCAGATACATTGCATCCAATAGGAAGTGATGGCATAGAGTACACTCTTGATAAGTTGTAGCCTGCCTGCATAACTCAACAGTCGAGAGCTCCAATGAGTTATTCTACTTAATAATCTGTCTAACAACGGCATGTAATGGATAATAGGAAGTCGCTTACTAGTCACCTGAATCCCAAGGTATCTAAAGGGGAAGGTTCCTTCTTGGTAGGAAGTTAGCTGAAGGATGGCACACTTGACATTAGCAGGGACATTACTAAAATACACCCTACTTTTGGAAGGGTTTATTTTCAAACCTGTAGACTCCAGAAACTTGTTCACAGTTAAATGCAGTATATCCATGGACCCATAATCTCCTCTAGAAAACAACAACAGGTCATCAGCAAAGGTTAGGTGGGTGATTTGCAGCCGTTCGCATTTAGCATGATGATTGAAGTCAGGGTTTTTTTGCATTCTGAATAGCAATCTACTAAGATATTCCATAATAATTACAAAAAGGAGAGGGGATAATGGATCACCTTGCCTAATACCTCTTCTAGCTTCGATCTTATCCGTATACTTCCCATTAATATTAAATCGGTAAGAAACTGTAGTCACAGTGGTCATAATCCAATCAACAAATCTCGTAGGTAATCCTACTTCATTCAGAATATTTTCAAGCGCGCCCCAATCCACCATGTCATAAGCTTTTTGGAGATCTAGTTGAACCATACATCTAGGAGGACCATTACTCCTAGTATAACCTTTTAAAAGTTCCATAGCAAGTAATATGTGAGAGTGGATTTTCTGACCCGGTACAAACGCTGCCTGCGCTTTGCTGATGATGCTTCCTAATACCTTACCAAGTCTAGCTGTGAGGATCTTTGAGATGATTTTGTAGACTGTTGAGCATCCTGCAATTGGCCTATAATCTTTCAGATTTTTGGCGTCCGGCTTTTTTGGGATCAGAGTAACAATTGTTTCATTGAAAGCTTTAAAAATCATATTTTGCTCAAAAAATTCTGTAACAGCTTCAATGACATCTTTCTCAACAATTTCCCAACTGTCCTTGAAAAATTTCCCACCGTATCCATCTATGCCTGGGCTCTTGAGATCACCAATCCCTTTTAACGCAACATTAATTTCAGTAGCAGTAACCGGAGAAATTAATTCAACTCTCTGTTCCATGGACAGTTGAGGTCCCTCCCTCATAACATCAATGTCTATCATATTAATTCTAGGTTCTCTAGTTCCCATTAGTTTCCCGTAAAATTCGCATACCTCTTTTTCTATGTCTTCCTGGGTGTGAATACAAGTGCCATCTTCTTTAAAGAGTTGACTGATATTAGTAGCTGCAGATCTGGATTTGAGGTAGGCATAAAAAAAGGATGAATTCGTGTCGGCTGTACGAAGCCAGTTAATCTTTGACCTCTGTCGCAACATTTGTTCCTGTAGTTCATGGAGGTGTGTTAGTTCATCAGTATAAATCTTCACTTTCAGAATGGTCTCAGTGTTCATCCTGTCCACAGTGAGGCTTTCCTGTGCTTGTATTAAATCTTGCCTTGTTTGGATTATGGTCTGTTGGAGATTTGACAGTTGTTTGCTCAATCTGCTAAGGGGGCCTTGTAATCTCATCAATTTATGCCACAATCTTGCCATAGGTCTGCCTTTAATTCTTTGTTCCAACTCTGCTTGACAGTATCATGGTAGCCTTCAATCTTCACTACACTATTAGTAAATTTAAAATTTTTCTGCACTGTTCTATTTACCACATCAGCATTCAATTTTAACAGGCAGTGATCAGAGATACTAGGAGGTAGAATTTCCAACTTCAAATTAATGTTTTCCTGCAGCCACGCTATGTTACCAAGAACATGGTCAATTTTTGAATATATGGTGCCTATAGAGTGTTTATTGGTCCAAGTATAATAGTCTCCCATACTTTCCTTCTCATACAATCCAGCATGATCCATCAAACTTCTGAGATCTTCAAATTCTCTCTCAGTCACCAGATTCCCGCCTATTCTGTCCATGGCTTTGGTTACATTGTTGAAATCTCCCATGAGGAACCAAGGACCCTGTTGGTTGTCATGAATTTGCTTCAAATCTTCCCACAGATGCCTTCTTTGTTCAAGGTGGTTCAGTGCATAGATTGCTGTCATCCAAGTTTGGAACACTCCATTTGCATCATGGATACCACAGTGTATCAGTTGTGATGTACGTTTTATAACTCTAACATCACATTGCCTCTCATCCCAGCATATCCAAATTCTACCATTGTTATGTTCTGTGTAATTGTCAAGATATTGGCCTTTGAGGTTAAGTTGATTCCTGATCTTTCTCACCTTGTCATACTTAAGATGATTGATGAGAATTTGTTCTGTGAACCCTCGTGGGTGTGTGATTGTAAAAAGGGACTTACAAAAGATGATTGATGAGAATTTGATTCAGGTTACTGCAAACAGAAATGAAGTTGAGAACGAGGTGAATGTCATAGTCCCACGTTTCAATATTCTTGAGCGAGTTGTAATTTCTTACAATAGTCAGAAATCTGCTGTGACGCCTTTGGTTATCCGTTTGCCTGGCCCGACACCGTATGAATCCGATAAAGCTGTTCCCTACAAATACAATGCTACTATGTTGGAGGATGGAAAAGAGGTTCCCATTCCTTCTCTTCCCTCAGTTGTGACTATTGCTGATGTTGGACGTGTAACTAGAAGTGGTCGAGTATTTGCGAATGTGCCCTCAAAGACAAGTGAAGATACTGTGGGTAAGCAAATTCAGTTGAAGACTTCTGTGGAGTCTGGTCAATCAAGTGATGTAAGTCAGAAGTCAGATAATGATGAGGTATTGAAATTGATCAAGAAGAGTGAATATAATGTGGTGGATCAACTGTTACATACACCGTCAAAAATATCTGTTCTATCTCTGTTAATGAGCTCTGAGGCTCATCGTGAATCGTTGCAGAAAATATTGGAACAAGCTTATGTAGATCATGATGTAACTGTTAACCAGTTTGATAGCATTGTTGCCAATATCACTGCGTGTAATAATCTGAGTTTTTATGATGAAGAGTTGACCGAGCATGGAAGAAATCATAATTTGGCTCTCCATATTTCCATGAACTGCCAGGAAGACGCTCTATCCAATGTGTTGGTTGATACTGGGTCATCATTAAATGTGATGCCAAAATCTACTTTGTCCAGATTATCTTATCAAGGTACTCCTATGAGGTTCAGTGGGGTCATTGTGAAAGCCTTTGATGGATCGAGGAAAACCGTGATTGGAGAGGTTGATCTCCCTATCAAGATTGGTCCTTGTTTTTTCCATATCACTTTTCAAGTCATGGATATTCGTCCTGCTTACAGTTGTCTTCTAGGACGCCCATGGATCCATGAAGCTGGAGCTGTTACTTCGACACTGCACCAAAAGTTAAAATTCATGCAGAATGGTAAACTTGTTGTTGTCGGTGGAGAACAGGCTATGTTGGTAAGCAGTTTGTCGTCTTTTTCTTATATCGATGCGGAAAAGGATGTTGGAACTCCGTTTCAAGCTCTTTCTGTGGTTGATAAAGCTGTTAAGAAGGATGGGGTGTCCATGTCTTCTCTAAAAGATGCACAACATGTAGTGGATAATGGCCAAGTTAATGGATGGGGCCGAATCATTGAAGTTGCTGAGAAAAAAGATAGAGCTGGTTTGGGTTTTACATCTGGTTCAACCCGAAAAGAGCTGAAGGGTATTCATGAAGTTTTTCGAAGTGCTGGGTTCATCCATTGCAAAGATCATTCTACAGCTGCAATTCTTGAAGATGACCAAGAGGAAGAAATGCCCAACTTTGTGACACGTGGATTGATATGCCAGAATTGGATCGCTGTTGATGTTCCTACTGTTGTTCATGTTTCAAAGTAATTTGTTTTTGTTTCTTTCAAAAATCCTTTCACTCTGCCCAAGGTGAAAGTGAATTTGTGAGGGCTTTGTTTCAACTTTTATCATCATCAATAAAATGTTTTTCTGTTTATCCATATGTTGTTTTCCTTTTTTGCTTTATTTCTGAAAAATGGTAACATAAAAAACCGAAAAAAAAAGTATAATAATGTTATAATCACTCTTATCTGCATAATATTTTCATTTTTTTGTTCATATTCTAAAATCAAACATAAATCATTGTGCAGATTAATTGTTAAACCCATTGGAAATAATGACCATATGCCCTCTCCCAACTTTGAGTTCCCTGTGTTTGAAGCGGAAGAGGAGGATATTGATGAAATTCCTGATGAGATTTCTCGATTGCTTGAGCACGAGGAAAATGCCATTCAGCCTCATGAAGAGCCGGTGGAATTGGTTAATCTGGGTTCCGATGATGATAAGAAAGAAGTCAAGATTGGGGCACTGCTTCAGTCAGATGTTAAGAAGAGGTTGGTAGAGCTTCTTAGAGAATATGTTGACGTGTTTGCTTGGTCCTATCAAGACATGCCTGGTCTTGATACTGGTATTGTGGAGCACCATTTGCCATTAAAGCCTGAATGTTCACCCGTGAAACAGAAATTGAGAAGAACTCATCCTGACATGGCCGTGAAGATTAAAGAAGAGGTTCAAAAGCAGATTCATGCTGGTTTTCTTGTGACTGTCTTTAACACGGTGGGAGAACTGACTTTAAACAATGTTGCGGATAGCAAGAGTCGCCACCGACTTTTATTTTATCCATAAGGAAAGGTTATAAAAGAACAGGAAAGACCTTAGAGAATATTTTGGGTCCGGGGGGTAGGTTATGAAAAGGGAAGGTGTTAGCACCCTTTTCATCCATGGTTATCCATGGGCTCTTAGGTACTTAAGCTCACTTTTGAATTGTTTTGAAAAGTGTAGTGTATGAATAGCAAAAAATTTCAGAATAGTTTAATAATAATCCGTGTATGGATGTGAAAAAAACTTGTTTGAAAATTTTGTTGGAAATTTGTTTAAGTGTGAAAAAGTTTTGAAGTGAGCAAGTATCTAGGAGTAGTCTACCCTAATGTTTTAAGGTCTTTCTTATTCTTTATCCTTTCCTTAGTGAGACTATCCCTACTAAAATGGAGTAGGTAGTCCTTACTCTGGATGTTAAGGGACATGTGAGGGACAATTGGATTTTTGAAGGCCATTGTGGGGTGTAATAAGCAAACTGGAGGGACTATCATCATTTTTCGAAAGGGACTCGATTCGTAAAGGCAACCATAAGGGACTTTGATGATTTTCTTTTTGAGGGACCTGCTTTATACACCCCACTTAACCAATATTCATAGGCAACTTGAGGGATATCCTTAGGAAGTGAGACGGCGATTAAAATCGACTTACGTGTGTGACGTGTTTATTTTAATTATCTTTATTTAAAAGTGATCTAAATTTATTTTAATATTACATACAGGTTGTTACACTCCCTAATTACTAACCATAATAATAATTAAATAATTAAACAACTTTACATCCAAGAAACAATTACAAAATAATAAGCAAAATAATTAAATAGCAAAGATAAATAAAATATAAATAAGCAATAATAAATAATAAAGGGGGTTAATTCTAAGTTTACTCGGCAAGACATCGCATCTTGTGCCTACGTATCCTTACGGGAATGGAATCAGAGTAATCGTAGTTCCCCTCAAAAGGGAGGTTAGAGACTTCTTGACTGTGGTCAAGGTCTCAAGGGGAATAAACGCATCTTAAGGACACGCTTACGCGGAGTGTAGAAACTCCAAATCTCTACGCTGAATTGTTAAGTTGTAATTAGGGTTAAATTAGGTTAGGGATTCCGCGGCGGGAAACCCTAAAATGAGCGCGGCGGCTCTTTGACCTAATGCTAGGGGTAAAGTTGTAATTTTGCCTGCGGCGAGGCATTTGTGAAAAGTAGGGTTTGTAAGGCTGTAAGGGTTTGAAGTTGAGGACTATTGACGCGGCGGTCATATGCTAGACCTAACCTTCGGATGCGTGTAGTGTGACAGAATAATTGATGAATGTGTGAGATAACTGAATTGAAAACAGAGAATAATGAAAGAAATTAAAACCATACAAGCAGAATTAAAAGGCAGAAAGTAAACGCGATTGTTATGTTCGCGAGGTTACATGAGAGGAGCAGATACAATATGATAATGAAATTTGAATTGAACAATAATAAAATAAAATAAATAACGGTTCTAGTTATTATAAAAAAAAAAAAATTTAGTTATTATTTTAAATTTATCTAAAAAAAAGTTTTTCTTAAAAATAATAGGTTTTCATATTAATTTGGAAAAGATGTTAATGTTATTTATTTTAAAAAACAGATTTTTATATTATAACAAGTTTTAATAAATTAATGATAACAATAATAATAATAATGGTAATAATAATGATAATAATGATAATAATAATACTAATAATAATAATAATAATAATAATAATAATAATAATAATAATAAAGCAATAATGAATTTTAAATGTGCCAAATAACCCAACAATGTTGCTAACGCAGAAATGCGCTCATCGCAACCAGATCTAAATCGGACGAAACAAAATTTATCGCAAAGAAAAAGAAATTAAGCAAAAAATAGTATTATTGCTCACACAAAAATGCGATCATCGCAACCAGATCGAACTAACACAAATGTCACGCGTCATGCACACAAATATGCAAACATCGTATCGACATAATTCGATCAAAAATTAATCTTATATATATAAACTCTAACAATTTAAAAATTATATATATATAAACGTAACAGTAATGGATAAAGGAAAAGAAATAACGGTAATAGATGAAGAAAAAGAAATAACGGTAAAAGATGAAGAAAAAGAAACAACAGTAATAGATGAAGAAAAAGAAACAACAGTAATAGATGAAGGAAAAGAAATAACGGTAAACGATGAAGAAAAAGAAACAATAGTAATGGATGAAGAAGAAAACTAAATAACGGCAAACGGCACTCACTCCTCTTAGGTTTTTTTCATTCTCCCCCTTTTTTCCAACAAGGCAACACATGTATATATAGGGAACAAAGTAGGGTTAACACCAAATTGTCAATAATGTCCCTAAAGCCCATTTTAAAGCCCAAAC